TCGGCGATACGACAGTGGCTCATTTACCCCTCCTTCTCATACCAGTCTTCATTCTCATTGCGATAGCTTTTTCGTTCAACCACCCTCCCCTCCCTTTTGTATTTTTGTGCTACTGTTCCTGCTCCTTAGCTATACTTGTACACTAGCCCTTAGCGTTTCAGCCGCGATCAATATACATGCGGATTGTCTAGCGATCCGGATTGCGCTATACACGATATTTCCTGAGCATCCAACCTTCGCCACCCTCAGCCATACACGATATTCCCTGAGCACCAACCCTTCGCTACCCGCAGCAGAGGCATCATGCTTGGGCATTCAGGCCCAGGCCTCAGGCGTCGCGCTGCCAAAAAGAAGGGCCTCAGCGAGAATTGAACTCGCGACCTCCTCGATGTTACCGGTTTGGCTCCCAAACGAGGAATCATACTACTAGACCATAAGGCCGTGATAATGACACAACTAATTTTAGTTCATGTACCTGAAACAAAATCTAGTTGATATATCCTGCCTCTTGACTTCTCTTGACTTCCTCCCGCTTAGTTTCTATGTACCAAGTTATCTACTTCTGAACACACCACTGGAGCTCTCAGTCGACATCTGCGCACTGGTGATATCACATCACAAAATTCTATCAATAATAATGTTCCTCAGATAGCGGCAGTTTATCACCACAACTGTTTGGAATTGGTATTTTGATTGATTACCGGTGGTATACCTCCACCCTCATAATCAGGTAACCGTGATAACATAGAATGCCACTAACGTAGCTGCCATATCAAATTTGGCACCACTGACTAACCACTAGTCTGGATGACCTTCATATTATCGTATCAGGATTTGAGAATCATCGGCCGAACGTCTTGAAAAGTAGTCCTTGGACTGTGCTCTTCACTGTTAATATCCCAAAACCACGTATGCTACACGTGTCTTGCGTGTGGAGTCTGCACCGTGACTGAGAGGGTTATGGACTGATTATTGATTATGCATGCACTCTTGACTCTATCACGGCTAGCGCTTCGGGCTGTTCTCCTCGACGATTACGAGGACCACATCAGTAACGTCCACTTGCCACTGGCCGGATTGGCTCAGAGGGCTGTTTTCGGACAGTATGTTTGGATGTGCTCTTGAGATACTTACATATCTGTTATTTCATTTAACTTGTCCCTGAGTCAATGTGATGCACATGACGCTTTTTCCGGCTCGGAGAGACTTGACAGAAAGAGAGAATACTTATGTAGAACCCTGGAACAACCTTTGGAAGCTCCCAATCAGTCTTTTCTGTCATGCATGCAATCATAGAAGTTATTCCAGAAAGTACCTTCAAAGTCAATGATGAACTGACTGACCATGCATGCACGCGCGTGTTCTTTAATCGACGGCCTGAAAAGAACGAGAATCAAGATGTAGTCCCAAATCGGGCCACGTTCTGTGATGTGACTGAAAAATGAAATGGGTATAGATCCGGCGCGTGCCTGTCCGCTTTGGACTGCCACCAAGGCCAATCGTCCTTTCACTTGAACCACTAATTCCTTTGCATCGACGAAGCGCCATGGAGGCTTGAGCTGCCGAGGTCCCAAGGGCCCTCCCCTACTCAATCCGCTCTGTTGTTCTAATCCCTGGCCACTCGACTGATTCTCGGGCGTCGAACCCTACATTTTGCCTTTATAATCCGTATGACGGTGCCTCAGTAAGGCCTACATGGATAACACTACTCGAGAACGTCAAGAGCTTGAAATTACTGCGCTTAAATCAATCTATGAAGAGAATTTCTTCGAGACACCGCCTCCAAAGGCTTGGAAAGTTGGTGATTGTTTCTTAGAGTTCTGGTTCGTGTTGACAATCTCCTAGGGGGCCTTACGCTTGCCAGAATTCGTTATACGAGTCACACATCCATCTCATGACAAGATTAGCTTCCATCTGAATGTCAAGTAAGCTCGTGCATCTATTATGAAGGAGCCGGAACCTGAAACTCACCACCGTTATATAGATTACCCAAGACGTATCCTACCCTTGCGTGTCCTATCTTTACTATCCAGAAGCCTATCGAGGGCTTGAAAGATGACGATGTTGCTACACTCTCTCACAAGATAACTTCAGAGTCACAGAAGATTCGAGGCATGGAAATGGTTTTTGAGATTGTTGGTCTCTGCCAGGACTGGATGGAGAACAACATCAAACCCAAGGACGAGGTGACTGGGTCGCTTGCGGTGCAAATGACTCAGAGAGCTGAGGAGGAGCAACGGGTGAGTTAAGGTCAACTACTCATCGTTTCTCCGTTTGAACTTTATTACGAAATGAAGGCGAGGAAACGTCAAGAAGCGGAAGAAGCGGAACGAGCAGCACGCGAGGCTCTGGAGAGAGAGGCAGAGTTCAAGGAAGAAGCTTTGCGCCAACTAGCTGAGAGGGAACTTCAATACAAAGCTCGAAAGCGAGCCAACTCCGAGTCCACGATGATTCCATCCTCTGGAGATACAATGACAGAATCGTTTCCTCACAATGTAGAGGTTGATGGTGTAACGTTCAACACCGTGAGGCTGTTCCATCCCCGACAAGGTATGTCTCTTTCACTCTTCCTTTCTTAGTGATACATCCTGATTTGTCCGAAGAATCCCTTGGAACAGTCTACATGGCCGACCCCGTATGTGATGACATCAACACGACGCTACCCCTAGAGCTCTACATTGTTAACTTTTATTCCCAATACTACTCGACTAGTCAGGGCCGTAAAAAGCTCAAACAAGTCGAAGCCGAGATACAGCGTCTGACGACTATCCGCCATCCTAATCACACCATTGTCTTTGCCGTCAAACTCACGCAGCCACACTCGAGCGGGCCCTTGCAGCTTATCGTACTTTCGGAACAAGCTCCCCCGTTGACGTTGCATGATGTTCTCGAAGACACGCCGTCTCTACGCGAGGAGCGCGTCTCGGTGTGTATCCCCCTCTAACGGCTCAAACTTGTAATAAATCTTACTGTCGTCTTAGGAATACCTAGCACAGATACTCTCAGGCCTGAATGCTATCCATGCAGCGGATCTTGTTCATCGAGGTATGGTCATGGATGCCAGTCTTTATCACAGCGCTCTCAGCCCATACAGGGATCAATGCTCGATACATTGGTCTTGTCTCCGGTGACCGCCCACATTCAAAACAAGTTAAACTCGGGCGGGTGGGATATCCAACGAGATTATTGGATTTGCATCGGTCTAACCCTTTCGGAACAAATATGCCGCCTACCGAGGAACCGCCAATCCCCGAAGGATGGTAAGTATGCATCAGTATCGCTCTGTGACCTGAGCCTGATACGTGGTTTGCAGGTTGTCGAGAGAAGAGAAGAATGAATCGGCATTGCTTTACACTCGTCAACGTGATATACATGCTGTCGGGATCGTGTTACTTCAGATGCTTCTAGGTCTGGATGTAACAGAACGATACGCGAACATTCACGAAGCTCTCCAATCCTGTACGTGTTCTTTACTTCCTTGACGTTGCCAACACTCATGTTCCCATCAGCTTTTGTCTCAAGTTCCCTGGCACGCCTTGCAACTAACATGATCCTTCCGTCTAAAAAAATGCATACATCATGCCTGAGTCTTTTAGGCGACCTCGCAGAGATGTCCCTTCAAAGCAGTAATAGCATTCAAACACCTTCGCGGGCCATTGCAATGCCCTCGGCTGCGGGATTGAGGACGCCCATGCCATTTATGCACGAGGGTTCGCCAGAGGTATCGGGGTTCTTTCCGCCGCCGCCCAGGCCACAGCAGGTGAGTCGGTGGAAGGAGGATTGGGAAGAATTAGAGCTTTTGGTCTGTACTTCATTCCTCATCATGTGCATCAATCTTATCACGGTCTCGCGTCAGGGCAAGGGTGGCTTTGGGTCTGTAGTGAAAGCAAGGAACAAGATTGACAACCGTATCTATGCAAGTTGGTCGCCTCTTTCCTCGTCTCTATCCTTCAAAGGTTAACGTAGATGATTTCCAGTCAAGAAAGTCCGCCTAAAGACAGAAGGCAGTGATGTGAAGATTTTCCGCGAAGTCAACGCTCTCAGTCGCCTCTCCCACCGCTACATTGTCCGGTATTATACGACCTGGATCGAAATATCTGACGAACCCATCTCTTCCAACATCTCAGACGACTCCGAATCGGGTACCGGCACTGGTTCAGGCCTGACTTCGGTCCCAAACTCAAGCGAACGATACCTTCCGCGGAACGGCGGAGGTCTAACAATTGATTTTGATGATTTGACAGACCGAAGATCGCTATCGTCCAAATCGTCATTTCCGAGTATCCATTTCGATGCGTCGTCATCACCTGGGACAGGCGAGTCGAGCGGGAGTGATGAGGAGGGGTTGGAGAACTTATTCAGACCAATGATGCCTGATGTTACGCCGCCGCCGATGCAGTCGCGGACCCTGTACATCCAGATGGAATTTGTTGAGCGGCAGACATTGAAGGAGGTACGCCTTGATGCAAAGTATGCGATCGTTGCATCAATCGATTTGTCTTGACAGCGCATCGATGAAGGGATCACGCAGGACGAAGCATGGAGGCTTTTCCAGCAGATCGTTGACGCCCTTGTTCACATGTCCACCCTTTCGATTCTGCACAGGGATATCAAGTTAACAAATATCTTCATTGGTAAATAACAACCCTTTGCTCTTTTGGATGTAGTTTATGTCCTTTTTCTTCGTAGATGCTAAAGGAGACTGTAAAGGTTTGTGTCTATGGCTTGAAATATTGGCGCGTCAACTTACTCCTGTTCTAGTCGGTGACTTTGGACTTGCCACTTCCAGTCTGGCTGCTGTAGATCCCTCGGATGTGTCACCCAGAACCATGGCCACAGAAGATATGACCCTTGGTAGAGACATCAACATCTTTACTGCCAGTCACCACTGACATACTCTCTCAGAGGTTGGAACCAGATTATACATCGCCCCCGAAGTCCAATCGCGAAAGCGTGGGCCCAGAAACCACAACAAGGCGGACCTGTACAGTCTCGGGGTACGTCGATCAATCCATGTCCTATCCTATGTCATCTCTGATTTTCTCTGTAGATTGTTTTTTTCGAGATGAACTACATGTTTTCAACGGGCGCCGAACGTATCGCGGTCATCGAAGATTTGAGGAAACCCGGAATATTCTTCCCGAGTGGATGGGACCCTTCTCGCCATCGCCAGCGTGAAAGTGAAAGTGAGATACTTAATCAAACCTGATACATTCTTGCTCATCTATGACAGTTATTACGTGGCTTCTTCAACATCGTCCAGAAGACCGTCCCACGGCTGTCGAGCTCTCACAAAGCCCTCTCTTACCTTCGAGACTTGAAGATGAATATTTCAAAGGAGCTTTAAACCTGATGAGTTCGTCAAAGTTCATTTCCATCTTTATGACCTTGCACTCACCGTCTTTCAGCTAAAGCTGATTCGCCTCATCAACGCGCCGTAT